GTCTGCAAAGTGAAATAGTTTAAAGCCATTAAACCCAAATATCCTGAAAAGTTTAGTTAAAAAAGGTGACTTTCCCCTGACCCAGTGATTAAAAGACATAAGGGATTTCAGCTTCAGCAAAGCTTGTACCACAAATATTAGCTCTTAAGGCCACGGAAGATCTATTAAAAAGATGCAGTCAGGACAATGCAGGTTCTAGTGTTGTGTTTTTCTAGTTTGGCCAATGCTAGAGCTGTTCATCTCAGCCTCTGCTGAGTTTTTAGCATCTTTTTTTATAAGCTGCCTCACGTGACTACACCACCTTTATAAAAGTGCAATACTAAATCAAAAACCCCTTTAATTTTCTGAATCGTGTGTCTGGGGTATGGGTTTGAAATAAATATATCCACTATTTTTCATTACTAAAACAATCATGTAAAAAATACTGAGTGTGGATTGCAATTTACTCAGTACCTGCAGATCTGATAGGTGAGATTTCATCTTTTTAACATATCTTTGAAATAGATGTATGCTTTTACACATTTTCTTCTCCACTTTTTTTCTATAACGTGAATTAAGTTCCATGCTTTAAATCAGCCATTGGGAGCTACGAAGATCTGAGGTTCTTCAGAAACTGGCTGCATGTGGGACTCGCTTTCAGTTACTCAGTCCACCACTGGATGGCACTGAATCCCTGCTTCCTGCGGCTATGGACACTGGCGAGTGTGTGGATTCAGGTTTTATTCCAGCAAAATGACAAACAGATGAATTTAAGCAATCAACTTCTGAAGAAACAATGACAGACACAAACTGAATATTGCCATGCAGTTCTCATGGAGAGCAGAGGATCTGGGAAATAAGGTTTTACGAACTCGCTCCAGCACTATACAATGTAACGACACCTAACTGTATTGGGATAGTCAGTCTTGTGTGTCTCTCAGTTCTTTAAGCAAGCACTGGAGATTTGACAGCAAGTTTAAGAAAAAATTGATAGCAGTGAAAGTTAACACGGCTGATGATGGTACTGATGTACATTTAAATTTTTCAAAATCTGGTGTGGTGTGAAGTGGTTGTGTTCACATCCCATGGTGTCTATGAGGAAAAAAAAACCATTTTAAATCTTTATTGAGAAAGAGCTTGTTGTACTGGATATTTAAAGAAATACTTTTAAAGTTACCCGTCATAAAAATTATATAGGGCATATTATTGAATTTTACCATAAATGGTCATTCTCATGTTTTGAAATAAACATTTATATACTTATTTTTCTGGCATTATTTCATACTTTGAATGGAAACAAAGGATAGCAAAAAATGTCAAGCTTTTCTTATTATTTAAGGACAGGAAACAGCAGTAAACACTGTAAGCAAGTTACTTTAATGGATTTGAACTTAGTCAACCGTATTTAATTGTTTTTATTATTTAATGCTTTTTACAGATAAAGCTGCTTCGTCCTGTCACAAGTGTCAAAGTGATTAAAAAGTTCAGAACCAAAAATGTTAATAAAAAAAAACTTTGTAATCAGGAAACAGCATTTTCTCTAAAGGTGTAAGAGCTTAGCAGCACATCAGACTCAACATGTGTTTTCTACCAATTAGTTTTATTTTAGAACAACTATCCGGTGTGAGTAAGCATGACCCAGTAAATGATTAGCAGGTTCTTAAAGGATTGTTGGTCTGTTTGGCATCATTTATGGACAAAAAATAAGTAGAATCCTATATATATTGTTACTTTTTGGACAGTTTTTACTGACCAAATTTTTTTTTATCTCAGAGGACTTTTTATACCCTTTAGTTTAATGGTCAGGAGATTCATCTTTCTTTCTGTACTGATAGTCTGGGCTGTCTGCCACTGTGGTAAACAAAGCAGTAAACCTGCACTCTTTCCTTTTAATGTGCCACAGTGTTCCCAGTCCTCCATTAAACAATGACGTTTTGAGGTGTATCTGGTCTCTTGACAGAACTGTTAAAATGTTAGTAGCAGAAGGCCATTTTAGTCACAACAACAAATGCATTAAGAAGAACGAACACTGACAGCATAGAACTGCAGAGTCAAAGTCAAGCTGCAGAATATATCTGTTCTATCAAACTAACTGAAAAAATCCTAACCACTGTGCCTCTGCTATAGCAAATTATTACCATGGAGCACTTAAGCATTTGATTTGTGTGAGAATTGTGGGTGATTATGATTTTTGGCTTGTCGAAATGTTGATAACATTTGAACACTTTGTAAGCCCTCAATCAATATCCTTATCACATTTTAACATGCTGGAGCCAATAACACAGTGAAATCCTCCTCTTATCTGCCACGAGCCCTATCAAAGTAAAGTGCAGTCTGGAAACACAAAAAGAGCACAGAATCAATGGTATCACAACCTAATAGACTTGTCAAACAAATGCCAGTGTTCCTGAGGCTACTCAAGTAAAGGTTTAAGCACTACTTCACCTCAGGGTATAATGGCTTTGTTTAACTTGTCATGTAATGACAGCTCTTAGCCACACAGTGGCACTTGAAGCTGTCTCTAAGCACAAGAGCATAGACTGTGGAGTGGCATTACCTGCACAGAATGACTTACCACTGAGGACATTATGTTGACAGTGTGACAGAGACATGCACTTATTTACTTTTGGGAAAAGAAAAGCCACCTTCAGTGAGAGTGCATCCTATATTATGTGATTATCTCTGCATCCCCATGTTCATTTGCTAGTCAGCAAACATCAACCACCCCATGAAGCGCTGGCCTACATAACATGCCAAAACAAATCACTGTTTCAGATTTCTCTATTGATTGTCTTTCAAATTACAAGGGAACACAATCAGAGCTATATTAATATTCTTTTAAAATCCCGTTTGCTATTTGAGACTGAAAATTGAGTGCTTATATGAAACCTGACACTTAGTGAAGCCAAAGCTGATATTGATACCACAACTGTGTAACACAGAAGAGCAATAACAACTTGTGTGTTGGTTGAAGGAGATGATAGATAGATGGATGGGGGCAGGCGCTGATTTAGTTCCACTACGTCGACCACGCTGGATAAAGTGAAGATCAATCTTTCATTTTCTGCACTCACACGGTTGGATTCTCCCTTATAATAAAATAAGCATGGCCTCTGCGTCAGGTGTCTTCAAAGCACGCAGGGTAAGCTGAATAGGTTGTTTAAAAAAATCAATCAGAATCGAGTTGTAAAGTTGGGGTTTGCATGGATGGATGGGTAAATGTGCTGGCATGCAATGATAGAATTAATATCTTTCATGTGCACTTGATCGACATGAAAGTCTGCATTTACTGTATTAACATGTGTATGCTATGTGCGCACTGCAAGAAGCTCTGTGCATGCATTAGCCATGTAAACATGCGCTGCAAGTCTGGGTCTGAATGTGCACGTGCATGTTTGTATCTGAACAGAGATGGTTGCCCTTTCGCTCAGACAAATAATTGGGTCACATGTGTGAACACCAGTCGAGGAAAATTTTAATCAAACTTAAGAATCCCCATTGTACAGCCCCTCCAGCAATCAATTACCATCCAACTGGGGTAAATGGTAAAGAGTGCTGATAGCGCACTAACTCCACTAGAGAAAATGCAATTGTGGTGATGTTTGGCTTTCACAAGTTCTATAACTGTGTTCACAATTATCAAAATTCATCACCTTGAGAAAAGTGTAAGTGTCTGTGGGAAGCAGAAAAGAGCGTTCAAGCACCTCCACCCCCCTCCTTTTAGTGCTTTGTGTAGTGGGTAAATAGGAGCCACAGAGTGTGAGTGATGAGTTTATTAGCTCCTGCCAGCTGTGACCAGCCCTTGGGTATTATTGGTGGGTTGGTTGCATGGTTTGTGTGCGATGCTGTTTAGGTGGGGGCTTCAGGCAGGGCAGGGGGGAACAGGAGGGGCGCAGGGGATGGAGGCGGAGACGGGGGAGTACCCCATGAGAACCAGAGAAACTCCCTGGCAACTGGAGACAGGATAAACACTAAATGGGGCGCCCCCATTCATCTAGCACCAAGCAGTGTCACACAGCCAAATGACAGAGATTGAGAGAGAAGGGGTGAGTGGAGGGGGTGCAAATATCTGAATGAGTGTAAAACCACTGGAGGCTGGTCAGCAGGAGACTTCCTGAGCTGCACCTACTCAAATTAGTCTGCCACGATATTAACATATGGGATGCCAGTGTCCCTGAATGTATCACACTTAATTATTGACCTGCCAGACGTGGATTTTTTTTTTTTCCTTTAAATTAGGGAAGGTGTGTGGGTGCTGTGGGTGTGGATGGTTAAGTTCAGTTTTCACTTCCACGGAGAGCTGATGAGCAGAAGACTACAGATCTCTTAGAGAGCATCTTTTGCAAGCACGTGTGCCACCGACACAACACATGCACGCACGTGTGTACGCACAGCCGAGTCTTTGATGTTAATTGCCGCAATGTCATTCATGATGAGTCAGTAAACCAGAGGTGTCGGTAGAGCTATCACAAGGTGCGTGAGCGCGTGTTCATGGTCCTCACCGCACCGGTTCCTTCACGGGAATTTAAATGCACCACGGTGGTCATCCGCCTGCCACACCCTTTAGAGTAAACAAAGGCGGACACAACTGAGCCACGATCCTTGGGCGATGACCGAAAAATCTCAGGGCCAACAAATGACTCTGATGGTATTTACAGAAGCACGGGGCGTAGCTGATGCTGAGCCTTAATCGTATTTGTTTGTGAAACGTTCTCGTTCTAATAGATTAGAGGTTATCTCCCAAACCGCCCCCTCACTTTTACGCACACATGCGCAAGTTTCGTGTGCTCCTCTCACACACTGCACACGTACACATACCAAAATCTACCCCTTTGTCTTGGTCGCCTCACGGCGGTAGCCCCGTAACAGGAATTCAGCGGGGATAGAAGCAAGTGTGTGGACCAGACTGTCTCCTCCCCCCATGGTAAGCGCACACACCACGATTCTCCTCCCCCTGTACCCCCACCTCCCCTCCTCCACACCCCTGCTCGCCCCCCACGCCTTTGTGCGTGTATGTGCGCTCTGTGAGGCTGACTGCGTAACCCGAAAACCGTGTGACGGATGCTGTGCATTTAAAATCAGATTTTATTTTTTTAATTTTTGGGGGGAATTTCTTACTTATTACTGTTTTGTATTTTGTAGGAAAGGGGGAACCTGTATGTGCAAATAAAGGGGAGGAACCGGGTGGACGCACGTGAATCTCTCACTTTATTCAAAGCCAGGAAATTTAAAGGAAAGGAACGCGTTACCAGCAAGTGCGGCAAATTGGACTTTCCACCATCAGCAACCCTCCTCTCTCTCTCTCTCTCCTCTCTTTCGCCATCCCTGCTCCTTCTCTGTAGGTCTCCTCACTTACTTCCATCATTCCTCCAACCTCCTATGATCCCAGAATAGCCTCACGGCGGAGCTCTCTCTAAATATTAGTGAAGGTTTTGGATTTCGGGGTGACTCTGGAGATGGATTAAAGGGACGGTGCACCGCAAAACTGGAGCAGCACGCACGACCACGCCGAGGGGGAAGGGGGCGACGGGATTCGGTGAATTCGCGGAGCCCCCGGGACAGAGGTGAGTGCTGTCCGGTAGTATGGAGGTTCTCCTCTCCCGTACGCAACCCAAAGAAAGCTCGGGAACCTATATGCCTCTCCTGCTGGCAGGAGCTGAGAGGCGACAGAAGAAAAAATAGCACATGGTTTTCACGTTTCCATCGTTGATGATATCATACGCAATCTGCTGATTTCTGCTTGTGGAGGAGTAACTGCCCAGTGGTCATTTTAATATTGTCTTTAATCAGATTCTGGTTACTAGAGGCTTCAATAGATGATCTAAAACAAATGAAAGATTTTTTTTCCTTTTTTTAAAATCAAAAAACACATGATTCCTATCCATGAAAAATGAAATCAGTATCACCGTTTACACCCATCTCAATTTATATTATTAAGATAAAGCTACATTTAAAGGACGGCTGTTTCTTTCGCTGTAAAAGCAGGTGAGTTAAACTGACCAAGGTATAAAGTCGAGCAAATAGCCCTTTGCGTATCTCTGTTTAAAGGCCCTGCAGTGGACATGGCTTTACATTAGCCAACACAGCAACTTTATTGCTGAATCCATGAATACAGTGAATGGAAAACTGGTGAGCTGTGGTTCTCCACTTCATATTCATCTCATTAATTAATTTCCAAGTTCATTTTTTTTGAAAACTACGCATGAATAACGAGTAGGGAGACACCACAAATCTATGTCACTATATAATTCTGTACTGTCCTGTACTCTTCTACCCTGAATAATAGTGTAGTAACTATAGGGACGTAGGGATAGCAGACATACACGGATCAGCCATTACTCTAAAACCACTGATGATGAAGTGGTTTAAAATCATTTTGCTTTGCTTAGAACTGGATCCTGCTTCTGATTTGTCTTTCTTTGGCATGTGCCAGCCCCTTCAATTAACCCCAAACCCCCTTACCTGCAAAGGCACTCCCCAATGGCAGCAGCCTCCCTTAGCAGAGCAGTACCCTTCGGCAACTGCAAAAGCTCCTCAAAAACAGCCCAAGGAACAGTACTAAGAGCCCAAAGCACCAACCCAGCTTGCAAACTCCCCAGATCACATTCCAATTCCCGCAACCCACAGAAATCCACCGCCAATGTTCTGACACCAGACATCACAAGAAACTCTCAGCGGTCAAGAGTACATGCCCTGATGGGTCTGACATTTTCTGGCAGCACAAGGGCGGTGTGTACAGTAATAGGCAGGTGGTCTCATGTTGTGGCTGATGCTGTGAAGTGTGTGAAAAAAAAATTCCCTTTTGAGAAATAAATTGCTGGCTTTGATTTTTTGTTTTTGTTCCCATTTGATTCAATTTAATCCCCACCAAAAAATCCCTCATCTCATGAATGCTACTGAATGACTCCCCTATACTGTTCTATTTTGTAGTATAGAAGTAGGTTATATTACAGTGGGTGAGTGATTATTTATCAGTCAGTAGATAGAAAATAAATTTGATCTGATCACTAACCAGTTAATTGTTTTAGATATGTTTTTAGCAAATCTCATTGCATAGCCAGTTGGCTTAATGTTCATCAAAATGAGACGTGAAGATGCCAACCTGGGCTCTGGGGGAATGTAATGGCCAATTTAGACAAAAGACACAAAGACAAAACAATAAGTTCATTCTCAGTTAATTCAAATTGTCAGCCAGCACTCATATCTATCAAACAAACAACGACAGGATGTCTTTTTTAGAAGAATTAAGCTCAGTTCTCCAAGAGCTTTTACAAATATACCATAGTAGCTGCCCTGGAGGATTTTATAGTCACCCAAGACCTTGTCAGTACTGTAGGTTTATCCTTTAATTAGTCACCCATCCATACATTAGCTCACTATCTTTAACCCCACCCCTGTGCTGATGCTCCCTGAGTCATATATTTATCTCAGTGCCTGACAGACTGTTTCTGCATGCCATGGGCTATACAACCCACTTCATTCACAGACATACACACAGACAAGATGTACACAAATTGCTTAAACTATAAACACACTCAGACACTTTGCAAGCACAAGCATAGCAGCTCAAACTACAAACAGTGCAGCCACACACACACACACAGACACACACATAAAAGATGCGCCTCAGAGGACGAATGCTGGTGTAATAGATAAACGACCCCCATTTCTTCAGTCAAGAGGCTCATTCAGTGCATGTTTGTGTGTGTAATGTGAGTTGGGGTGCGGTTTAAGTGCTGACTGGAGTAGGTCACTGAGACCAAGCTGATGGGCGAGTGAGACCCAGACCCCAGCGTCTTCCTAAGCTGCTTTTAGCTACACTGAAATCCATCCATCCCAATATCCCCCCTTCTATGATCTTCACCCCCTTCCTACTCCCACCACCAGACATACAAATACACACACTCACACACAGAGACACACACACACACACA